AATTTTTATCCGATTTGGTTTAAACTTGAAATGTATGATTATAACCCAAAGATCTCTGTTCCTTTCGATATTCGTGCATATCGGAAAGTAACTTCCTGAATTATGGCCCCTGATTGTACAAAAAATCGCATTTTTAGCTTGTGGACCCTATAGAGGTCATAGTTTTTATCCGATTTAAAAAAACGTATTATTATATCACCGTTAAACCCTAAGGACTGCTGAGTTCGAATTTCGTGAAATCGGCCCAAAACTGACAGACAAAATGGCCGCCCCTCGTTCTCAAATAACATAATATGGTATGTCAAGGTTGTGGACCCTACAGAGGTCACAATTTTTATCCGATTTTGTTGAAACTTGAAATGTAAGTTTATAACCCAAAGATCGGGGTTCCTTTCGATATTCGCGCATATCGGACCGTAACTTCCTGAATTATGGCCCCTGATTGTACAAAAAATCGCGATTTTACCTTGTGGACCCTATAGAGGTCATAAGTTTTAACCGATTTAAAAAAACATATTATTATATCACCGTTAAACCCTAAATGGCCGTCCTTCGTTCTCAAATAGCGTAAAAATATGGTATATCAAGGTTGTGGACCCTGTAGAGGTCACAATTTTTATCCGATTTTGTTGAAACTTGAAATGTAAGTTTATAACCAAAAGATCGAGGTTCCTTTTGATATTTGCGCATATCGGACCGTAACTTCCTGAATTATGGCCCCTGATTGTACGAAAAATCACTTTCTTTTAAGCTTGTTCTCTATCCATCTCTCGAAAATGTGGGCGTATCCTGCCTGGCAGCCGCTCGTTATTCTAAATATAACTCCACCTTTAAATATTTAATTTACCTTTTGCGATTTGAGTGGTTGATTCTTTTGATAAAACCTGGAATATGTAATCATTCTCAGTCACAGTCTAACCTATGTTTCAAGCATTAATGTCATCCATGAATAATTTACTGACCTTCCACAATCTGATGTGTTTATTGTTTGAGACACAATAACTTTACTTCTACTAGTTCTAGTCATTGGATTTTTATATGCCACATTTTATTTATGGACACTCTACAGGTCACAATTTTTATACAATTTTGACAAAACTTAAAATATACGTCTCTCTCCCAAAGATCTCGGTTCCTTTCAATATTGACATATATCAAACCATAACTTCATGGATTATGGCGTCTGATTGTATGAAAAAATCACGATTTTAGTTTGTGGACTACTCTAGAGGTCACAATTTTCATCCGATTTTGATGAAACTTGAAATGCATGTTTATAACCCAAAGATCTTGGTTTCTTTCAATATTTGCGCATATCAGATCATAACTACATGATATATGGCCCCTGATTGTATGAAAAATCACATTTTTAGCTTGTGGTCCCTCTAGAGGTCACAATTTTTATCTGATTTAAAAAAATGTTTATTCATATCACCATTACACCCTTATGATGGATGAGTTATAATTTTGTAAAAATTGGTCCAAAACTGCCAGACAAAATGGCCGCCCCTTGTACGCAAATAGTGTAAATATATGGTATCTCAAGGTTGTGGAGTGGACCCCCTAGAAGTCACAATTTTGATCCGATTTTGATGAAACTTGAAATATATCTAAATAACCCAAAGATATAACACAACACAGTTCTATGGATAACAATCACTATATTATATACACTCGATGTTTCGACAAGTATTCACTGGTCGTTATCAAGCATACAAATTACAAATGAGGAAAAAATTGTGACAGTGTTATATAATAGGTACATTGAACAATAATAAGAGAAACCATAAATTAACAATCATGAAACCCTAGCTTATTACTTAATTTTAAGTAATAATTAATGCCAGGAACTGTTTCGCATCATAAAATATACTATCTTTTAGCCTTATATAATTTCAAAAAAGTTTCTAAATAAGCAGTGATTTGTATACGATGTAACTAGATCCATCATTTATCTTTATGTATATTATGTAATGCTATTCCATGTCACAATGCAATGAAGTCCTATATGAATATCCTAATAATTAAGGTGCTTTTTCACCATTCACTTTATATGCTCTTTGATGTACAGAGACATATCTTATGGCTTCACCTAGTAGGTTTTACCCATCATCTATGTTTTCATTAATTCCTCTTTAATCCTTTATCCGCTGTTATTACTATACTATGTGCTATCATAATTAAATCTTAGTATAATTACTTTAATAACCAATTAAGCTCATTTGTAATTTGTATGCTTGATAACAACCAGTGAATTCTTGTCGAAACAGAAACATCGTGTGTATATAATATAGTGATTGTTACCATAGAACTGTGTTGTGTTATATTATGTTCAATCGCTAAATGCCATTCAAAGATTATAACCCAAAGATCTTGGTTCCTGTCGATATTCATGCTTATTGGATCATAACTTCCTGAATTATGGCCCTTGATTGTACGTAAAATCTCGTTTTTAGCTTGTGGTCCCTCTAGATCTAGAGGTCACAATTTTTATCCAATTTAAAAAAAACATTTGAATATATCACCTTTACACCCTATTGACAGCTCAGTTCCAATGTCGTGAAAACGGGAACAAAACTGCCGGACAAAATGGCTGCCCCTCGTAGTCATACACTAATAGTGTAAATATATGGTATATCAAAGTTGTGGACCCTCGAGAGGCCACAATTTTGAGTTGATTTTGATGAAACTTGAAATATATCTTTACAACCCAAAGATCTTGGTTCCTGTCGATATTGGCACTTATTGGATCGTAACTTCCTGAATTATGGCCCTTGATTGTACAAAAAATCGTATTTTTTATCTTGTTCTCTATCCATCTCTTGCAAATTGTAGGTGTATCTTGCCTGGCAGCCGCTGGTTATAAAACTTAAAGGGACCATCCCAAATTGAATAGCCTCAAAAATAAAAGTCTGTGTACATATAAAATTTAAGCGCTAAAATACAGATGAATAGTGTATTTACTATTTAACTTGTCTCAAAACTGCTTATCTGAACACGTAACCCTTTTAAGATTTTGAGTCATTTTTTCGTTGGGTGACCTGATAATCGATTGGAGGTCTATACAGTGCATGGCCCAAGTGCTGTACCTACACCTACACATTATTTTTATAAAGTTTTAAGCAGTTTTATTCTCGAAAATATAATCAAGATTGGCCCTTTAAACATGCATTATGCAAGAGCTACGAGGGGAAGTCAATAAGTTCATAGAAGTAAGTATTGGTACACCCCTGAGATAGGCCATCTGACGACAGTTTACAGACATAAACAATCCTTCCCTATCATTTACTTGAGATTTACAGCCTGTTGAACACAGGTACCCTCCTGTAATCATGGAAAGTTCTAAAATCCATGCAATGGAAGCATAAGCACTCTCTTGCACCCAAGAAGTTCAGAACTCAGCCTTCTGCTGGCAAGATCATGGCGACCATTTTCTGGGATTCAAGAGGCGTAATACTTATAGACTATAAACCACCTAAAACTACAATAACAGGAGCCTACTATGCTGACTTGTTGAAGTAATTGAGAGCGTGATCAAGAAGAAGAGGCGCGGCATGTTGACTGCTGGAGTTGTGCTTCTTCATGACAATGCTCCAGTGCACAAGAGTCGTATTGCACAGGCTGCACTTCAAAAATGTGGCTTTGAACAACTTAATCATCCCCACTACAGTCCAGATATGGTGGCCACAAACGACTTCTAACCATTTCACAATTTGAAATCACACTTGCGTGGTACAAGGCAGCTACTGAGGCGTGGCAGAGGGGCCAGTCAGAAAACTTCTACCGCAAGGGAATAGACAGTCTCAAAGACAAATGGGCAAAGTGCATCGAGGTGCAGGGAGATTATATTGAAAAATAAAATCAATATCACAACCATTGGCTTCTGTTTTATATCCACTTCTATGAACTTATTGACTTCCCCTCGTAAATCTGCCTATTGCAGGTCTTTTTTTGGGCCTGAAATGTTATATAAACTATTAATTAGACATTTATTAACATGAAAAGACTTTACCGGTAATCAACTCTCGATGCCATTTCTGGGGTCGGAAAGACTAGTGATGAGGCGACAGACTGCATCTGATCAGCTCTATTTATCTCTACAATTGGTGCCTGAATACTGTCAGACAGCATTTCCGACAGTGTATTTTTCAAAATTTTCTTGGGGAGGTCCCCAATACCCCAACAAGGACTCGCTACTTTGGTGCTCACATTGGGACTTTGTTGAGGTGCCTGACTGAATACTGTCAAGACAGCATTTCCCGCAGTCTGTTTTTCAAAATTTTCTGGGGAAGGTCTCCCATTTGGCGCTTGTGATTGGGATTTCTCGCGGTTCGCAAGTCCGTTAGTTTGACACTTTACCTCAATGATCAGTGCCTGAAATACTGCCAGGCTGCATTTCCGGCAGCCTGTTTTTCAAAATTGTTTGGAGGAGACCTCCCTTCCTCTAGTTGATGCTCGTGCCTTTGTCCCCTTAACCTTGAACTTTGCCCCAGTTTTGCCCCTCCAACCACCAACGGCTGGCGCCGCCACTGCATCCATATTAATTAGTCTGGTGCCATACACCCTCAATATCATAGTTACAAGCATAAGTTCTGACAATAAAGCCCAGCCATAATTAAAATTCAATATTAACCATACTATTCAGAATTATTGTTACAAATTAGATTTCAATTAAAAATGGTCGATCCAAAAAATAAAAAATACATAAAATGTGTAGACTGTACTAATCAATCACAAAGGACTGCCATTCAAGTTCAACTGCTGACATATGTCACAGAAGATAACTGATTAAAACTTACAATAAAAATGTTAAGAAATTTAATGTAAAATTCATATTACTTAAATATGTACTTTATTTCTACCATTTTTCGGCTCTTTTAAGGTTCCAAAGAAAAGAGCTATGTACCTTTTGGTCTATTATAGATGATTGGTCTATTCATTGTAAAGCTTATTTTATAAACAGTAGTTCAAATATTAATTTTTATTGCATTTTATTATAGGAATATACACATTATTGTGTTATCTAGAACTTCATCCTCTAAAATGGGTGGACATTTTATCCCCAGTATACACCAATTGTAAAATACAGTGTTATGGCGGACCCACACAGTTACAAGCAATTTCCAAAAAGGTGAGATATTTCTTTTAATATGGCAACATTTAAGTACACTTTCTGTAGCAGGATCATATAACTTAATCTTTTTTAATGTGTTCAATTAGTATAATTAGTTTCATAAGGCTTTGGTTTACCGTTTCAGTGCAGTTTTCTTTTGAGAATAGAAAATGTGTTGAGAGAGATCATAATTAAACATGTGCTGGATTTAAGTAAACAAAAGAAATGCCAGGAGCAGATGTAAAGTGGTGATAAGTCTATGTTAGCTAGGATAATTTATCAACAGTCGACAGCTTTTAATTTAACTAATTGTTGAATATGTCCTTTCAATATTTTTGAACAATGCCTATCTATTGTATCTCTGAACATCACTTACTAATGAACATTATTTTGGCATCAACCAATTTATGAATTAAATTTTTCAATCACTGTATTTGAGAAATGTGTAGGTTTATAAGATTCAAGAAGTTGGTAGATAACCATGTTTTACGCAATGCAAAATTGGACATGGTTTTAAAATGAGTTGTCAAAATGGCATAATTTGTGGTAGGTAGAGTCTTATTGAAAAAATTATCTTATCACTTCAGTGCCCTCCTTTAGCTGTAGCAATTGCCAAGAAAAAGATTGAAGGAGAATTTTTTGCTACATCCAACTCCATAGATTTTCCTGTAGTTGAAATCAGTGATAGTATGGGATGGGACTCTGCACCTGTTAAAAGAGAACTACGTCAATTACAGTGGACCATATCCAATACCAGTAGGTGTTTTATTACAAATGTTAATGCAAATACTAATACTCACCCTCAAATCATTAGATCTTCATCTGCAGTCTGTTGATCCAGACACGGAGGATTAGATAAGAGGGCCATCCGCGATATATTATAAGGCTACTTAGGAAAAGTTTGTATATTATTGAACCGAATTACTAATTTTCATCCAGAAAAACTTTTACACAGGACAATGGTAAAAGTAAGCTTATGTCCAGGCTTGGAAATAACAGTTCTAAATTTGCCTGACAATAGGTTAGGCACTGATTTAATTTTGAGTCCAGAATACAACAAACAAACCCCACCCAGGGGCAGATGCATCTGTTATAACCATGGGTTCCACGTCGGCCGTATATGCCGGTCGGGACCGAGGGCTATGGAAAATGACCGTAATTAGATCTGACCCATCGGTGATTTTGTACGCCGGGAAAAAATAGCCTTTTTTTCAAAACCCAATTTTCAAACATGGCTATAATCGACCTCCACTATGTAACTATAAAGTTGTATGGCCAGTCCAGAATAATGCGCACGTATAGAAGCCACATAATTTCATGATTGGTGTTATATTGTATACATAGTTGTAAACAGATTATACTGAGTGTTGTGTTGATAATTAATGATGAGTGTCAATAAAAGTTAATTCATAATATGTGGGAATCTTGTCAATGGCGTGAAGCGGTCCATTCTTAGTCGATCAAGTATTGTCCACGTGTCATAAGAATTTTCTAGAACAAAGCTGTTTACCGCTTTTACAGTCACGCACGATGTAAACGAGATTATCATCTGCAAAAAAAGGGCAATTGATATTAAGTACTGCTCTTCGAATCGAATCAATTTTCATATAAAATAAAAATAGCATAGAAATTACGTGTTTGGAGAAAAATGCATTATAATTTTTGTATAGTGGTATTACGGCCTTGCTTACCGAAAAATAAAGAAAATTACGTATTCCAGTGCTATTGTGTAGCAATATTAATAATTCCACGTGTTACAGAAACGTTGTGTATATATGGTAACTCTTATACACAACGTTATCCGTTAGTTATTTAGTTATTCATTATTAGCATCAATGCTGATTGGTTAATCAAATGTCTGACGTCATGGGGTCAAAAGCCGCTCGTATTACCTCTGACGTGACCTATTGCAACAACCGGTCAGGTCTTCATGTAGTGTAGGCCATCGAAAGTATAAAAAAACAAAACGAAATACAGATCTGTATTTTAATCAGATTGTTATTTAAGTAGCCAAAAGGGAATATTTAATTAATAAATAACTATCATAAGCCTTACTAATATTTCATTTTTAAGTCCAATATATAATTTTTTGTGTACCCGATGCTGACAAAGTGGTATAGACACGTACATTCACAATACCACCATGAATAAAAAACATGAAATATGAATTTACTTTGCAAAGTTTTCGTGCATTATCAAAAATGACCGGCAGTGAGAATTTGGAAGTGAAAGCCCTGGTTATAACAGAGAAATGTGGATTCTCTTGTCTAATTGTATTGTTGTTTTTAATCCCAGTGTTATTCAGCCACCCAAAGTCTTTTTATTTGTTTCTTGTACTGTATAAAATGTATTGATTATAAGGCCAATAAAAGAAGACAGATTTCTAACAGTGATGTCATAGCTTTTAGAAATCATGAAAAAAGCTTTGTCTTCATTTTAATTTTACTGGTGCTGAAATATAGGAAATTATACCCCAGTTTCCCTTCAGACTTCATGAAAAAAGCACATTTTAACAGTCATTAACAAACCAGAAAAAACAATGAGCTGCTTGATTTACCAGTATTAACTGTATACCATGGGTTCCACGTCGGCCGTATATGCAGGTCGAGACCTACGGCTATGTAAAATGACCGTTCCTAACAGTCATTTTGCACCCCGGAAAGAGGGTCTTTTTTTAAAAAAAACAAAACAATTTCAAACATGGCTACGATCGACCTTCACTGTGTAACTATACAAGAATGCACGCATCGTCTAGAAGCCAATCTCGTGATTGGTGTTATAGAGTTGTATATATAGTCGTCAACAGATTATACTGAGTGTTGTGTTGATAATTAATGATGAGTGTCTGGTAGTAGAACAATAAATGTTAATTGATAAGTGGGAATCTAATCAACGGCATGAAGGGGCCCATTGTTAATCATTCACGTATTTGCAAACGTGTCATAACAATTTTCAACAACAAAGCCATTTACCGCTATTACGGTCAGGCACAATGTAAACAAGGTTATTATGATCTTCGAAAAAGGGCAATTGATATGAAGTATTGCTCTTCGAATCCAACCAACTGTCATATAAAATAAAAAAAGCATAGAAATTACGTAAGTCCTCAACAACGTACGTGTTGGGATGAAAAATGCATTTAAAAATGTTTATAGCGGTATTACGGCCTTGTGGAAATTGTTGAAATAAAATCTAGAGATTAGTTAACTTGCTTACCGAACAATTAAGAAAAATACGTATTCCAGTTCTATTGTGCAGCAATATTGATAATTCCACGTGTAGAAGAAATGTCGTGTATATACGGTTACTCTTATACACGACCATATTCTAGGGGGCGCTAGTGTCGCTAGCCGTGAAGTTAGTTATCCGTTAGTCATTTAGTTATACATTATTAGGATTTACGTCACAATTCTGCGGCCCGTAATTCCATAAGAGATGGTCTAAAATCAAAAGAAATTTGAGATATATGCCATGGATAATTATATATTTATCTTCATTTCAAAGTTATTGTATTACAACTCAAAATTATCCAGGTCAGTGTGTTTTCTATAGAGCACGTGTTAATTACGTGTGAGCTACTGAAATAGTTTTTCTCCGGCCAATTCAACTATTTCGTTATTTAAGTAGCCAAAACGGAATATTTAATTATTAAATAATTATCATAAGCCTTACTAATATTTCATTTTTAAGACAAATATATTTTTTTTTGTGCACCCCATGGTGACAAAGTGGTATAGACACATGAATTCACAATACCCTACCATGAATAAAAAACATGAAATATGAATTTACTTTGAAAAGTTTTCGTGCGTTATCAAAAATGACCGGCAGTGGAAATTTTGAAGTGGAAGCCCTGCTGTATACCCTAATGAGGTTAATTCATGTTACCATTTGAAAGGCAGGGGACTATTAAAATGGATCCATCTGTCCGTCACACTTTTTGAGACACAATAACTCTCCTAACTGAGCATTTCCTGCTTATGGTAAGCAGAGATAAGGCTCTTTGCCCAGTAATAGGACATATTTCTTCCACCAGGAGATAAAAGCAAATGTAATAATATGCCAATTATCTATTTTGATTTGCTCCTTCATTTGAATGTTTACATAACAGTACCCAGAGATAGCAAAAAAGAACCACAGATATTGTATCATAAATAATGACCATTTGATCTTTAGAAATGTGTGTGTTGTCTTCTTATACACCCACGTGAAAATGTGGTCATATATTGCTGTCATCCCCGTATGTTCGTCCGTCCGTCATCCACAATTTCTTGTGAACACTCTACAGACTACATTTATCATCGGATTGTTTTAAAATTGATATTTGTTGTTTACATCAGTGAGATGAAGAATCCTATTTAATTTCACTAATTCCCAATAATTACTTCTAGGGTTATGACCTTTAATTCTCTTTCTTGAACTTTGTTAATACTCGAATGATCAAAATTATCCTCTGACCTGTATGAAATGTAAATGCGTCATTTAAATAAGTGAAACAAAGAAGCCTATGGAATTTCAACAATTTCCATCAATTACTTCTAGAGTTATGGCTTTGTTGAACCTTGTGAATGTTGGAATGACAAAAGTTATTATATGATCTGTATGAAATTTATATGCATTATTTAAATTAGTAAAACAAAAAAGCATCTCGAATTTCAACAATTTCTGTAAATTACTTCTAGAGTTAAAAGGCCCTTGTTTCAGTTTGTAGAACCTTGTGTACCCTCAAACGAAAATTATAATCTAATCTGTATTAAATTGTCTTGTAAATTACCCTAATTACCTTCAAAAGAATATATGCGACAAACCCTTTAGACGATTTAGCTGCTGTGGGCGTATATTTCATTGCTTGGCAGCCTATCTTTTAAGGTAATAGTATATCATTTCCACTTTATAATAACTTTGAATAGACTGTTTATTCCAGTTCATTTTAAAATTATAGATGAATTATCAATTGGCATATAACTCAATGGAAAGTAACAACTGTATCTCTATAAAAATTATTTTCTTGATTTAATTATTTTTTGTCCCCCGCCTTTCGAAGAAAGCAGGGGACTATTAAAATGGGTCTGTCTGTCTGTCTGTCTGTCTGTGTCCGTCCGTCCGTCACACTTTTTGGGACACAATAACTCTCCTTCTAATTGAGCTAGAATGTTCAAACTTGGTGTAGGTGTTTATTAGGTCAATGCCTTGATGGAGTTCGAAGATGAGCATTTTCGGCTTAGGGTAAGCAGAGATAAGCAATTTGATTGGTTGATGCTTTGGGACACCATAACTTTAGTTCTAATTAAGTCAGAGTGATGAAACTTGGTGTATAGTTTCATTACATTAATACCTTGACTAAGTTTGATAATGAGCATTTTCTGCTCAGGGTAAGCAGAGCGATAAGCAATTTGATTGGCCGAGACTTTGGAACACAATAACTCAAGTTCTAATTGAGCTAGAATGTTCAAACTTGGTGTAGGTGTTTATTAGGTCAATGCCTTGATGGAGTTTGAAGATGAACATTTTCTGCTTAGGGTAAGCAGAGATAAGCAATATGATTGGTTGATGCTTTGTGACACGATAACTTTATTCTATTTAAGTGAGAGTGATGAAACTTGGTGTATAGTTTTATTACATCAATACCTTGACTAAGTTTGACAATGAACATTTTCTGCTTAGGGTAAGCAGAGCGATAAGCAATTTGATTGGCCGAGACTTTGGAACACAATAACTCTCTTTATAATTGAGCTAGAATGTTCAAACTTGGTGTA